GATCGAGTCCCGCATTGGGCTCCCTGCTCAGCAGGGAGTCTGCTTCTCCCTCTGATCCTCCCCCTCTCATGCTCTCTGTCTCCCATTCTCTCTCTCAGATAAATAAATAAATAATCTTTTTTAAAAAAAAGTTATTTTTAGAAATTTTTTTAGAATTCATTTTAGTGCCTCTATTGACCTTTTAGCTATTCCTATTGACATCATTTTCTTAGTGATTTCTCTTTATTTGCCATTTGGATATCTTTTTTTATGAAGTACCTATTTCGGTCTCTTGTCCATTGTGTTGTCTGCCTAATTCTTATTGATATGTAAGACTTCTTTATGTATTATGGATATAAGACTCTTGTGGAATAAATGTATTATAAATATCATTTCCCACTAATTGGCTTGACTTTTTGCCTCTCATACTGTTTTTTTTATTAAAATAACTTTTTAATTTTGCTGTAATATACTCTAAGCCTTCATTTTCTTATCTGGAAAATACGAATTATCGTAGTATCTCACAGGGTTGTTAAGAGGAACAAATAAAAGAATGCATGTACTCCTGCCACTTAGCAAAACTCAGTAAATATTATTATTATCCCTAGTGCCACCCTTTTTTCCTCCTTCTAATCTTTGATTTCCTTCCATTTCCTGTGTTCTGAGTATCTGAGAGGTCATATAATGTAGCAGAAAAGACTGACCATATGGCCTTGATCAATTCCTAGCATCTCTGAGCCAATGTTTCCTTATCTGTAAAATGGAGGGCTTCATCACTTTTGGGATTCAATTCATTTTTTCCATCCTTTTTTGACTACCTACAATTAACAAGTGAGATAAACATTGGAAAAAATTATAGACAGTTCATTCTCACTTTTCATTTCATGACCCCTCCTACTTTTACAAATGCTAGCTGGGGAAGAGATGTGAGCACCACAAGAGGGAAGTAGTTCATTTTAGTGACTGACATCCAGAGAACAACATGCTTGGTCCCCCAGCATGCTTCATCCTCATCCTTCTCCTCTGCCAGCTCATAGGTGAGTCCATATTCTCCTGTTCTCCTGACTGCCTTCTCCATCCTGAGGTATACCTCTAGGCTTCTGGGTCCACTCTGGGAGTCTGGCCCAACTCAGGAAGCTCTGCCACTTCATTTAATATATTTTTGTAATCTGTGGTTTCTAAATCAGAGGACAGGAAGAAACTAGAAGGAGAGGAGAAAGAATGAATCTGGGGACAGCCTCCCCCTCTGACTGTCCCAGGGAAGGAAGGGCTGAAAGAAGGGGTGTTGGGTAGTAGAATGACCTGTGTTCTAATCCAGATTCTGTCATGAATTAAATAAAGAATGTTATCTTCCCCAGGACTTAGCCCTCCTTCCCTTTGAGGGCAACTTTAAAATCAAAATGAGATCATACAGGTGTATATTTATTTATTTATAAATATACATTTTAAATATTTCTACTTAAACATATTTATAAGTATACATTTAGAAGTGTATTAGAAAATATTTAGAAAAATATTTTAAATGATTATGCAAGACAACAATATTAGTAGAAGGAAACATTTGAATTTTCTCTCTTAACTGAGCAATTCAATCAGTCTCTACTTAGAAAACCAGCTCACACTGTAGGTACTTTATGTCTAATACCATGAAGGACTGAGGACTTTTCTGTTCCTGTCACAAGGATTCTGGTCTTTGAAGATTTTACTATCCTCAGGGCTCTCAGAAAGGACCTGGAGCCCCATAAGTTAGAGATATCTCTCTGGTCATCAAACTCATGGGGTACCACCATGAAGTCTCCCTCTGAGGACTTGGCTGGTATGTTTATATGTGCCCCAGCCTGCCTGAAGTGACCTGCCCAAGACCCCATAGTCAGTCAGTGCTCCCAATCCTTTCCTCCCCACCACCTGGCCTCACTAAGCGTTCAGCAGACTGTTGCTCTCCTGAAGTTCACTAGAATGTTGCATATTTAGGAAGCACCTGGTTCTAAGCAGGTGGTCCTAGAATAGGTTTTCACTTTAAAAACCACTCCCTGAATAGAAATAGTGATCAGAAGTGGAACTTGAAGGTGAATTGGGGGAGCACACAGCAGAGCTTTTCAAAACCCCAGGTGTCCATCTGAAACCTGAACTGTGGGCAGCAGGGTACATGTGTGTGCCCTGCTCCAGGAGGCTGTGGACAGCCTGTGTGGTACATTGCCCATGCCTGAAAGGAGTCCAAAATTGTCCTTTATCTTTTCTTTATTGTGTCTCTATTGTGTTTCTGAAGAGCTTAAAGAAAGTATGGGGGGGGGGGCAGCGCCTGGGTGGTTCAGTTGGTTAAGCGACTGCCTTCCGCTCAGGTCATGATCCTGGAGTCCCGGGGTCGAGTCCCGCATCGGGCTCCCTGCT